ACCTTTAATCATTAAAATGACCTGCATTTGTAGGAAGAACAGATTTATCATCTACATCGACATAACATACAAAGTAAGTAAATATAATTTGGTCTCAAGAAATGCCTACTTGTCATGATTCTGCAAATAATGAAGTATTCATCTCCTCTGCAATTATAATCTGACATTCCATCTTAACACGTCTCACTGATAAAGAAAATTTCAAAACCTTCAACTCCTATTTTTTTTAATGCATGTGTGTGTTTCAATGCATATCTGGTTATCTAGAAATGCAATAAAAGAATGCATTTCTAAATGAGCAGTATAGCAATTAGCTACTAATATACTAAAGATCGGCAGACAAAAATTGTAACATTTAATCAGATTTGTTTATACAAAGCTTTCTGGTGACTTTCAAATTTCAAAGATATGAAAAGAAACCAAGCATACTTATTTGCGCAGCGAAAATAATGTAGAGACATTAGGATTTTTTTGGAAGCAGGAGAAATGAAAAATGAGCAACGCCTTAGCCGGGAATCAAACCACGGACTCTGCGCCGAGCGTGCAGACCACCACACTACGAAGGCATGCTAAGAAGGCGGGAGAAATACCTTATATCAACTAGAAAATGAAGAGATGGAAAGCAAAAAATAAGCATTTTGGTTATAACTTACAAAAGGTTACATACGGGGTGTTTCAGCAAATCGGTTACAAACTTTCAGGAGAGCTAGAGTACACCAAGACGATGGAAGAACAAATAGAAATGCATGGTCGGAAACGCTTTCCTGGCGCGGCAGTGACAATATAAAATACAAAAAAGGAAGGACACGAACAGGGTGAGGATATATGTTTATTATATTTTAGTGCAATGGAAACTAAGAAATAAGATCAAAAAAGACGGTCAACGAAGGTGTACAAAATTACGTTCGAAATGTACCCTCAACATGGGATCGGCAGGGGTGGTCCGGTGCATTGGCTAGTAAGATCGCCAGGTATTTCTTGCATTCCTCTGAGGGTACGTCAAAACATTGGTATATGAAACCTCCGTTAGAAATGCTGAGGAACTTATTGCACATATTGTCAAAGCTGGTGGAGTTGTCCGGGACAAGCCCGGTATTTTCCACAATATCAGATATTACAAGTATTTGAGATACGAGGCCTGCGTCTGGAGTCATAACTTCGAACACCTTCTTTGATGACGATCGTTGTCTGCTTCTGTTCTTATTTCTTGATTTCTGCTGTACTAAGCATAATAAACATGCTTCCTCACCCTTTTCATGTTTTTCCTTTCTTGTGTTTTATGTTGTCACTACCGTGCTAGAAAAGCCTTTTCGACCAAGCACTGCTATGCGATTTTCCATCGTTTAGGTGTACTCTATCTTTCCTGAAATTGTGTAACCAATTTGCTGAAACACTCTATAATACTTAATGGAGTTTAATCATTATTCTTGGATTATTTGAATTACAGCAAAATACATGAAGGCTATCTGTTTAAGGGGAAGGATGTTTTCGTAGAAAATGCTTCAAGGAAAATTGGTTCATATTCATATTGCACATAATGAAATCCATGAAACCTCCCATGCAGCTTACCTGTCGGTTGAGATTTACTCACCTGTCAGTCGAACTAATAATATTCAGCTGTGTTAGAGTTTGCCCGATGGTGCGCTTAAACGTTCGAAAAATTTACAAAAGAATACAAGAAATTATCTTACTGTAGAAAAATATATAACACTGTAGCCAATTTGCGAGATACAAATAATACACATTTCATGTAATATTAAAAAAGCTGTTTATGAGCTGAATGGTGGTAGCAAGTATGAGCAATGATGACTAAACACACTAACAAATCAGTAATTTATTTTACATCTGTTACGTTTAGCCACAATAGTGTACATATGGTTCAAAAGGTTAATAAATAAATAAATAACATAAAATAAAAAAGAAAATCTAAAAGCTTTTAGATTTCATATTGTACGCAAAGGGGAGTTTTTTTAACGTATTGTGTGCGTGATACCTTCATTTATTAAATATCATGTTCTTCGCACTTAAAACATAAAATTTAATTCAACAGCAATATCACAAAATAATTTTAAAAGAACATATTTTTAAGATTTCCGATACACAGCCTCGCGCGCTCCAGATAAAAAAAAATTGTCATAGTGTTGCCATTGACCGCTTTGAAATTGTTGAGTTTCTTAATCAAAAAACTTACAAACGCTTTACAAAATATGAAATCGATAATAAAACAAATTCTAAATTTTAAATTTGGGCTTTCAGGTGTCCATATTCGCAGTAGGATTACGTCATTCAAAAGTGGATAGCTCTAGGTACCGTTGTTTTATCACAATGTAAGAAATATACCTACACTTATGCAGATTCTTCATTATTTAATTTCTTCAAATATAATACAGGGCGATAGTATTTTGTGGCAACAGTTAGAAAAGTGATACAGCCTCTTTCAACTTTCAAGTTTTCAACGCAAAATCGCAAAACGGAAAACAATAGTCCTTCAGGGACAAATCCCCTTTGGACTAAAAAAAAGGGGGATTGTTCTATATATCCCATTCTACTGGGCAGATTGATGAAATTCAACTTGCGTTTTTCATGCCTCGAAAGCGCGACATAGGATATATATTAGGTTTATATTTAGCATTGTTTTAATATAGGTATTTTGAAACAAAATCTCACATTTTCTGAAATGACACGTCAAGATTTTTCCATATTTCGATTCTGCGACTCAAATTATGCTAAACTGCCAAGTTTTGAAAATATCGTACGGATAGTTTTTAAAACATTAACTCTCAAAATTTTACCTGCTCCATGTTAATTGAATTTGATACATATTTATTAACATCTCTTCCTTTCATGAAACTTATTTGATTCTTCCTTTCACATTTCGAAATTTTGGTTCATTCCAAATAAAATTTGCCCATTTTTTATGATTTTATTTTTTAAATTTGTATTTTTAAATAATTTTTATAATTTTTTTCGAAAACTATTGTGAATTATAACCTATAAAATTTTTACCCTCATCTTAAAGTAGATGTATTTCTAAACATACCTGCAAAAAATTAGTATTTTTTACTCAAAATTTCCTAGAATATACATGAATTTACATTTCGGCGAGTTCTGGAATTTCGCATATTTGTTATAAGCGGTAATAACGCCAAATGCGGTTTATGCACTTTGTTGAAAATTATTTCAAATAATGAATGATGACTTTTTCCCTCTCCTGTACAATGAAAAAACAGGAAAGGAAATTAAGCTTCTACAAATAAAAAGAAGTTCGCCAAGCGAATTATTCTTAGCGCAAGGCGCGCCAAGATAAATTTTTGAATTTCTCCATAAATTTCGTACCAAAGTTTTACAAAATTTAATATTTGGGCATAATTTGAGTCGTAGAATCGAAAATTGGCAAATTGGCACGTCATTTCAGAAAATGTCCGATTTTGTGTCAAAATACCTACATTAGAACAGTGCTATGTATAAATCTAATATATATATTAAGATGCGTTTTCGAAACATGAAAAACGCAATTTGAATTTCCCCAATCGGCCCACTAGAACGGGAGATATAGAAATGTCCCCCCTTTTTTCCCTCTTGCAGTATACATCGAATTTCACATACTACACTTTAACTGTTCTTTAGGTTGTCTAAAATGAAACGCTTAAATTTGAAACACACTTGGGCCATCAAGAACATCAGAGGAGATAGTTGATAGCATTTCAGATACGTTTACAAGAAGTGCTTAGAAATTCTTTCGTATGGGGTTGTAGAGTCATTAGGATTTTTTTGGAAGCAGGCAAGATGAAAAATTAGCAATCGCCTTCACCGGGAATCGAACCACGGACCTCTGGAATACCGGCCCAGCGTGCTACCGTTACACCACGAAGGCGCGCTAGGGAAGTGGGAGAAATATCTTACATACTCCCCTTTTTAAAGGGCGATTAGGGATTTAAGGGACCTAGTCGCCAAATCCTGGATGTGGAGAATCATCATCCACAACCCTTTTAGTTGGAGCGCCATTTGTAGGGTCATTAGGATTTTTTGGAAGCCAGAGAGATGAAAAATAGCAAACGCCTTCGCGGGGAATCGAACCATGGACCCTCTGGAATACCGGCCCAGCGTGCTACCGTTACACCACGAAGGCACGCTAGGGAAGTGGGAGAAATACCTTATAGAGTCACGTGTGCTTGTTATCCAAAAATCAATTATCCACGATGTGCTTGCTACACAAGGGCCTAAAGCTTTATGCATACAAATTGCAGTGGTTAATGAGATGAATCCCGACGACAAAACCAAACAAGTAACGTTTGTCGAAGACATTCTTCAGCGCTAAAGAACACCTAAAGAGAAATCGACTCTTGATTAGATTGTTTGTCCCACTCGTGGGAAAATAAGCATGATAGCACTAACTAAGAAATAGCACTAGCTAAGAAATAGCATGATAGCACTAACAAAACTTCAAAATGTTGACCTGTATTGTTTTATGAATTTTATTATTTAATTTTTCTGTATGTATTTTATTCTTTTTATAGGATACATGGCGTATTACATAGCATTTTAAATTAAGGCGTTTCGTCTCGGATGCCCTGTATTTTTTAACTTTCTGCATCTCCTTTGAAAATTGAAAATCTGAATTTTTCTGAAATGCGTAAGATGGAAAATTAAGAGACTAAGTTTATGATAACAGTTAAAGTCCAAATTATTAGCGTGACTTAACCTTCGATTGTGTTTTATGAGATAAATGGTTTCTTTTATATTTATATTAGTAGTAATTCTGCAGGCTGAATATCATTGACAGAAATCTCATCATTAAAATATCATCAATACTATTTTATTATAATATAACTTATTTAAACTATTTTATTACTGTATTTCAGCAGTTTATTTGTCGTCATTCTGCATTTAATATATACATAGCTGTATACCTGGAAGCTTATATTTCATTGCCCACTTAAATCTCCAGTATTGTAACATATGTTTCATAATCATTGATTTATGCTTATTTTTCTTTTCAGAACGTGAGTGAAGTCTTGCATAAAGAGGCAATGTTGATTTTCATTGATTGTCCTTATCCAAGTGAATGTTTTGAACAAGCTAAAAGTATCGTAAATGTTTATGAAGAACAAATAAAATATGATCTTGATAATTCTGCGTTAGGAGCACCGGTAGCTATTGAATCTTCCAAAGCAACTGTCGCGGTGTTCAAAAGGGTATAAGATCCAGATCTGGCTTTCATTTAAATGTTATTCAATAAAATCGGACCAAACTATGCGTCAATGCATTCCTTTCTTCTGACTTTCAATGAAAAGTTACCTCTTTATCAGTAAAATCATCAGAGAATTTGAATTCTAACAAATATTTAATTAACTATGATTGTTCTCATTTTTGCTCAGTTTGTACTGATTTTTTTACCTCTCACACCAAACACAAACTGAAACAGAAATAAGTAGAAAATTCTAAAAGCAAGAAAAATAGAAGTTGTATATAATTTTATGTCTTCTGTACCAGATGAATCAACAGTCTGATAAGACAGATACCTGACCCAGCTTTAAAACCAGGTGGATACTTTTTAATAAGCTTTTAATAATGTAGAATATTTATGTAATTATTTTAATGATACCGATAAATGTCGTTATAATGATTGATTATGTAATGAAATAAGACTCGGTTCTGTATATTGTTGTCGTGACTGGCAAATTCTGATGCATGATTCTGAGGCAAATTCTGATGCATGAAATATTTCTATGTTTGTGGAGCGCGTTTATTTTACACTGTTTTAAAACTAGGAACAACTGTTCTACTATGACAAAATTTGAATAAATATAATTCGAGTTATTTTTGTTTTCTACCTCAGTTTAAGGATACTAGTATTATTTTATTAAACCCTTGTCTGAAAACCTAAACGCAGGCTTAAGGAAATCCGAGCTGTTCGCGCCTGCGCATCTGTAATGTAATCCACGCATGCGCATCTGTAATGTGAAAAGACGAGTTTGAGAATCGCCATCGACGGTGTAAGAGAGCTAGTCACAGCTATGAGTTAATTGTAATTAATTATGAGAATTAATAAAGAATCGAACCAGCGAATTTATTTAGTGTGTGTTATTTGGGACGAGACCCAAACATATCTGGTCGTAGTCGAGACCGGAGCGTGAATAAATAGTGTTTTCGTTTTTGAGAACACAGGAGTGTTTGTGTTTGCCAGTATTCCAAGCTTGTTCTTTTCAACGAATATCGCTGATTTTGGATATGGATATTCATCAAAAGTGAATCACTGCAGAGGTAAGTGATTCCTCTCTTGTTAATTCTGTACTTTTCTGTGCTGTTCTGTTATAAATAACAATGTTATTTAAGGGTGCTAAAAAAGAAGATTTAAGGCTTATTGCCTTAGAAATAAATCTAAATGTTGACGAAAAAATGACTATAGCAGATTTGACTGATATTATTGAGAATAGTGAAATTTTTAAAACTAAACAAGATTTAGTAAAAGAGATAGCAAACTCTATTATCGAAAATAGAAAACAGGAAGAGCAAAAACTTGTCGAGTTAGAAAAAAAAACTTGAGAGATCAAAGAATGAGTTAGAGTTGCTAAGCTTAGAGCAGAAACTAAACTTGATGGTGTAAGCGAAACCGAAACAAAATCAGAGTCACTAGATCAATTAATAAAAAGTATCAGAACCTTAACTGTAAAAATTCCTATACGGCCTGAGAGTTGGGGATTTTTCTTTTCGTCATTAGAACGAGCGTTTATTACAAAAAATGTTTCGGAGGACTATAAAGCAGAAATTCTGTTAAATCTGTTAGGAGACAAAGCTTCGAATATAACCTATTTACATGATAAGGATATCGCGAATTATGAAAGAGTAAAAGAAGTAGTTCTGAAGGAGTTTCAGCCAACCACCATATTCGTGTTTAGAAAACTTTAGAAAAACTGTTAAACAACCACATGAAACTCATGTGCAGTTTGCTTCTCGCTTAGTAACTACTTGGGATTATTATTTAAAATTAAGGAAGGTAACTGACTTCGAGACCCTCAAACAACTAATAGTTTCAGATAGGTTATACCAATCTTTAGATGCGGGAACAGCTTCTCACATTGCTGTGAGGCAAGGTGATTCATGGTTTTCACCTAGTGAGTTAGGTAAAGAAATAGATTTATATTTCACGTCACGAGGAAAACCTCTTACTGAGAATTCTCATGTTAATCGTAAGTATAGTAGCTCAAAAATTGTAGCTAAAGTGTTTTTTATCAGATGTTAAAACAGAGAACTGTATTTTATGCCACGAGAATCACGGATTGGCAAAATGCCCATCGTATTTAAAATTAACCGGTACAAGAAAGAGTACAGGTTGTGAAATCTAATAAATTATGTTTTAAACTGTCTACATATGCATTCAGTATCAAATTGCCCATCGAAATATTCTTGTTTTTGTCAAAAACGGCACCACAAAACTATTCACTTTCCGAAAGCAAATAATATCGTAAAGGAGAAAGAATGTTCTTCATCGGAACAAAATAAAAACAAACAAATGTATCTGACTGCAACATTCCCAAACGAGATGACTCATCGACCTTGAATGTTAATGCGCAGGAGTTCGTTCAAAAGGCATTTATTAGCAATTATTCGAATAAACAGAGTACAGTTCTGCTTTCAACAGTCGTATGTTTTCTAATTGATAACGAGGGGAAAAAACACAGAGTGAAGTGTCTGCTGGACGGGGGCAGTATGTCGAACTTTTTGACACGGAATTTTATTGAGCATTTGCAGTTAGAGAAAGAAAAAACAAACATTTCCGTTTCGGGAATAAATGATGCTACTTTAAAACAATAAAGCATAAAATTAATGCTTCGATATGCAATAAAGAAGGAACTTTATAAAAGAATTTGGACTTTTTAGTAATTCCAAAAATAACTGCTGATTTAACACACTTCGCGCAAAATTAAATTTCAGTGCAAGATCTTCCTAATTTAAAATTAGCAGATGAAGGATTTAATGTTCCAGAAAGGGTAGATATGTTGTTTGGGAGCGGGAGTTTTTTATGAACTTTTGAAACCGAGTCAAATTCGAATGAATAATCCTGATCTTATTTTTCAAGATACAGTTTTTTTGTTTTATCGTGTCTGGAAGTATTCCAACAGAGACTGAAAACAGGGTTCATTGTGGGTTGATAAAGGAAAGAAAACTTAGATAAACTCTTAGAAAATTTTGGGAATTAGAAAATATTTGAAACTGATAACCAAAAACAAAGAATTTTTAATTTGCGAGAAACATTTCGTAGAAAATTATACACGAGATAAAACCGGTAGGTACGTTTGTTAAATGCCATTAAAGGAGGATTCGGACACTTTAGGAAGTTCTAAACAAATTGCAAACGAGTAAATTAAATTCCTTATGGAAACGCTTAGTAAAGAATCCCGAATATTTAAAATTATTCAGATTTTTTAAAAGAATAACAGTTAGGACATATGGTTTGAGGTGAGTGAAAGCGAGGAGGAACGAGGTTCATATTACATTCCTCATATTGGAGTATATAGGGGAGAAGAGAAAAGTAAGTCGACTCCCTTGAGGGTAGTATTTAACGCTTCTTCTTTGACAACCAAAGGAACTCTCTAAATTCTATACAGTATAATGGAGGTGTGATACAAGATGATTATTTCTCAATTATGCTGAGATCAGGAAATATATTTTTGCTTTCACTGCTGATATACAAAAGATGTATCGAGCTATTTCTATCCATCCAGATCAGTGGAAGTTGCAAAGGATTTTATGGAAAGAAGGCATTGATAGCCCGTTAAAAACTTTGAGCTAACCACCGTTACCTATGGAACTGTGAGTGCACCATTTTTAGCAATGAGAACACTTGTTCAGCTGTCAAAGGATGAAGGAGATAAATTTCCTTTAGCAGCGCCTGTACTGAGAGAAGACATGTACATGGACGATATTCTATCTGGAGCTGAGTCGTTAAGTTCTGCGTTAGAACTTCAAAATCAGTTAATAGGCATTTTGAAGAGTGGAGGCATGTTACTCCATAAGTGGTGTAGTAATGCTACTGAACTGTGTCAAACAAACGACAAAACATATCCCTTTGGTAAATCAGAAGAATCTAAAGCATTAGGTATTTTATGGAAGTCAAAAGAAGATTGTTTGAGCTTCAACGTTAAAATCGAAGACAACGTAAAGGTTACGAAACGGCAAGTGTTATCCGTCATATCTCGGATCTTTGACCCATTGGGTATTATTTTCTCAGTTATAATTGTAGCAAAAATATTTATGCAGAAAATTATGGCTGTTGAAATTGAACTGGAATGATGTTTTGCCAGAAAAGGAGGCTAAAGAATGGAAAGATTCTCCAGTACCTTGCAGCTAATTAACACATTGAAGTCCCTAGATGTATTTTATTACCGGATAGAATCAAGATTGAATTACATGGTTTCTGTGATGCCTCAGAGGCCGCCTATGGAGCAGTTATCTACTGTAAAGCAACATCAGCAACAAACCATACATCAATGAGTTGGTGTGCAGTAAATCGCGTGTCTCCCCCCCTAAAGAAGACTACAATCCCAAGACTTGAGCTTTGTGCACAGTGCTATTAGCTAAACTGATGCATCGAGTTGAAATCATCATTAAAATTGGAGCTTACTACTATCCACCTTTGGACGCGATTCGATGATTGTGCTGTCATGGATCAACAAAGAGCCACACCTTCTCAAGACATTTGTTGCAAACCGGATTTCAAAGATACAGGATCGACTGAAATAGCACAGTGGCATCATATCGCTTCTGAAGAAAACCCATCAATCTCATATCTAGAGGTGTGTCTGCCAAAAACTGCAACTAAGTCAACTGTGGTGGAACGGGCCTGACTTCTTAATGAAGGATGAGTACCCTATAAGAGTTATACCTGAAGCAATTACTGAAAAAGACAGTAATGAACTTAAAACTTTGCTGATTCTGAACTATCTACATGTTTAAATCTGAATGTGAATAATTTCATTAATGATTTATTGAATTGCAGTAATAAGTATTTTTAAAATTAATTCGTATTATAAGTTTTTGTTTTAGGTTTACAAGAATTGTAAGCAAGACAAAAGCAAGTAGGTATTTAAAAGTGGGCGAATTGAGAGTAGCTGAAGAAACTTTAATAAAATTAGTACAGGGTGAGTATTTTATAATGAGATAAATGATCTTAAAAAATCAGATATTGTTCCAAGAAATAGTTCTAATAAAAGTCTTAACCCTTTCATTGACAGTAATGGACTGTTGAGAGTT